TGTGTCTTCACTCTTCCTCTTGTCTGTGCTGCTGTTCGTGGGGGTGAGGCTGTGCAGGAGGGCCAGGGCAGCCTCTCTGGGTGTCTGCTCTGTGCCTGAGGGACACTTTCCTGGACACCTGTTGGATGTCGGCAGCGCAGGGACCCTTACCCAGAACTACCAATATGAGGTGTGTCTGACTGGAGGATCAGGGATTTCCAGTGAATTTAAGTTCCTAAAACCAATAGCTCCCAACTTCCTAACCGAAAAAAGCACAAGCAGAGAAGTGGAGTAAAAATAAATAAATAAACCCTTTTTGTCCTTGGACGCAGCCCTAGTTTAAAGTAAGCCCTTGTTGCTTGAAGAAGAATGAGTTCCTGTTAATTTAGTACAGAAAATAATGCCTATATTTATTCCTAAGAACCAAGGCATGAAATGCATGTGTTGTGTGCTATCCCAAATTTAATTAGATTCCTCTTGTTTTTAAGCATTTATTGAATTTCCATTTATTAAATGACAAATCTAGGTAGGAATGGTTAAAACTGTTTTTCCATTGTCTAATCTCTTCACTGATAGTTATGTTCTGAGTTGATTGAAATTATGTATAAATATACCTACACTACATTTTGGGAGGTTATACTATGCAGATTTTGTTAAGTTTCTTTAGTAATTACTCTGCATCATGTATAATTTCGTCACCTTTTTGAGACATAGTCTCCCTTCATCCAGGATGACCTTGAACTGTTAATCTTCCTGCTCCAGATTCCCAAAGTGCTGGCATTACAGGGCCTCAGCCTATTTCCCCACTTTATTTCATAAGAAACCAATGGGTAGAGTTATTTAAATAATGAGCAAGTAGAAGTTCATAGAGACCTGGTAAGTTCCACAATTATTAACTGGCAGAGCATCTCTTAATTGTTTCTGTTGTGTTTTCTTGTTTAAAGTGTGGGAGATTTTTTTTTTTTGTTCTGCAAGGAAGGTGACTTTGCAACAATATTATGCTGTTTTCTATCATTCTATCACTAGATATCATCTGTCAGACTACATTGCTCATCATCCTCTCCTGTATTCAGAAAGGGCAATGCTCCTCTTGGCCTGTAATCTTACTTCCTTATAAACTGACAACCCCTCTTTGGGGGTTTATTTTCCAACTATTAATAAAACTATGCCTTAACTAGACATTAAAAAAGAAAGAAAAGAAAGAAAAATGGGCACTGGACATAGTGGAACGTGCTTTTAATCCCAGGTGGATGGATGGGTAGCTCTGTGAGTTTGAAAGCAACCTGGTCTACAGAAAAGTTCCTTGACAGATGAGGTGACCTAGAGAGACCCTGTCTCAGAAGCTGGAGGAGCAGGAGAAGAAGGAGCGAAGAAGGAGCTTCTCCACATCAAATTACCAAATATATCATTGGGTTACTCTTCCGCCACATCTGTTTCTCATTTGTAAGAAGGGGAGTTTAAAACAGCCCTAGGACCTAGGTGCTGTTATCTCATCTGTGGATGAGAAAACTAAGGCATCAAATAATTTGTCCAAGAATGACAGGTACTGTTTCTGTGGTTCCATTACTAGAAACATACATGCACACATATGTATATATTTCTTGCAGATATTCTTTTTCCTTCCAGGTTGTTATTTAAATGTGTACCTTTGCTCAAACTCTTATTATTGAAAAGTTCTCCACCAACTAGATTTCTCTAATGTGTCCTTCTGGCGGTTGTCTGCCCAAGAAGGCACAGCAATAAAAGAGGCAGTGTAACTTTACCTTGCTCACTGCCAGATAGATACCAGTAACTTTAGGCTTTTTTTTTTTACAACCATTTTTATCTCACAAAATGTTAAGATACTATGAGAACACATGGCGGCGCTGCAGGATAAGAAAGTAAAAACTGGAAGGTCGCAGTGGTTCCCTTAACAGAGAAAAAAATATCCTGCGGAAGTCCGGAAACCCAGAGAAGCCTGCGCACCTCAGAAGGAGATCTGGGCCCCCAGAAAAGGACTGGAGTGCTTCTTGGGTGTCTAGTGAGATAACCACGGTACCAGAAACCAGGGGAATTTACAGTTCTGTGTAAGCATCCTCCAGGACACTGTACCATCAAGAACAATGGAGGCCAGCAGGAAGCTCATTTGCAGACAAAGGCAAGTCCTTTTTTTCTTTTTCCTATTAGGATTCTCTCAAGTGAGTGCAGGGGAACTAAGGCGCTATGCTGTGGTGGAGGAAAAGGAGGGAAGGTCCTTTGTAACCAATTTAGTAAATGACTTGGGTCTTGGGCAGCTGGAACTCTCCAGGCGAGGGGCTAAGGTCATTTCTAAAGGTAACAAACTGCATTTGCAGCTGGATCAGGAGACGGGGGATTTGCTGTTAAATGAGAGAATGGATCGTGAGGAACTGTGTGGGCTCACAGAGCCATGCCTGCTGCGCTTCCAAGTGCTGCTAGACAACCCCTTAGAAATTTTTCAAGCTGAGCTAGAAGTAACAGACATAAATGACCACTCTCCAACATTCCTGGACAAAGAAATCATGCTAAAGATATCAGAGAGCAGTCTTCCTGGAACTACATTTCCCCTGAAGAACGCTCAGGACATGGATATAGGACAAAATGGCATTGACAACTATCTTGTCAGTTCCAATTCTTACTTCCACGTGCTCACTCGAAAACGCAGTGATGGCAAGAAATACCCTGAACTGGTACTAGACAGAGCACTGGATAGAGAGGAGGAGGCTGAGCTCAGGTTAACGCTCACCGCGCAGGATGGCGGCTCTCCACCTAGGTCTGGCACCACTGAGGTCCACATCGAAGTATTGGACTTCAATGATAATGCTCCTCAGTTTGAGCAGCTTTTATACAGAGCACAGATCCCAGAGGATAGTCCAATAGGCTTTCTGATCATCACTGTCTCTGCTACAGATAAGGACATAGGGGTCAATGGAGAGATCTCCTATTCACTCTTCCAAGCTTCAGATGATATTAGCAAAACCTTTTCAATCCACCCCTTGACAGGGGAAGTGCGGTTGAAAGAACACCTTGATTTTGAAAAGACTCGGTCCTATGAAGTAAATGTTGAGGCAAAAGATGCTGGAACGTTTTCGGGAAAATGCGCGATTCTGGCACAGGTCACGGATGTAAATGACCATGCTCCCGAGATTATCCTGTCTGCATTAACAAATCCCATCCCTGAGAATTTACCAGAAACTATGGTGGCAGTTTTTAGCGTTTCTGATCTAGATTCAGGAGAAAATGGGAAAATAAGCTGTTCCATTCAGAATGATCTACCCTTCTTTCTAAAGCCTTCCGGAGAAAACTTTTACACGCTATTAACACAAAAACCTTTAGATAGAGAGACTACAGCAGAGTACAACATCACCATCACCGTCTCCGACATGGGCTCACCCAGGCTCACAACCCAGCACACCATAGCAGTGCAGGTGTCCGACATCAACGACAACGCCCCCGCCTTCACCCAATCCTCCTACACCCTGTCTGTCCGCGAGAACAACAGCCCCGCCCTGCTCATAGGCTCCATCAGAGCCACAGACTCAGACTCTGGCTCCAACGCCCACATCACCTACTCGCTGCTGCCGCCACAGGACCCGCAGCTGGCACTGGCGACGCTCATCTCCATCAATACCAATAATGGGCAGCTGTTCGCGCTCAGGTCCCTGGACTACGAGGCTCTAAAGTCCTTCGAGTTCCGCGTGGCCGCCACAGACCACGGCTCTCCAGCTCTCAGCAGCCAGGCGCTGGTGCAAGTCCTGGTGCTGGACGACAATGACAATGCGCCCTTCGTGCTCTACCCTCTGCAGAACGCCTCTGCGCCCTGCAATGAGCTGCTGCCCAGGGCGGCGGAGCCTGGCTACCTGGTCACCAAGG